ATATAAAGCGTTGCCCAAAAGTAAATAAGAAACCACTAAAACTTTCGAATATAAGAAAGAGCACTCAAATATAATCTGAAGTGGGTTTAAATAAATCCGGAACGGGCTCACTTGAACCCGAAGCGGGTTCAAATAAATCCGAAATGCGCTCATTTGAACCCAAAGTGCGTTCAAATAAATTCGGAATACGCTCATTTTAACTCAAAGTGGGTTCAAATGAATCCGGAATAGGCATATGTCTTATTTAAAAAAATCAGGAATCAGAGTATTAGGACTATCGGAAATCAGAAATGACAGTTAATTATGGAACAAGCTTGGTGGATCGATTTTTTACCGGATATGACAGGTTAACGGTTTTAACAGGATCGGTTTTGACAAGGTGAACTGTATCTATAAAATTCATTAGCCAATCAAAATTAATTATATTCAAATTTGGTATATATTTTTAAAAAATATTGAATTGTTTTGCTATTTAGTATTGTATTTAAAAAATTTAATAATATATTTAAATACTGCATATACTGTATTTTTATAGGTTTAATTATATTTTATTAATTAAATAAAATTTTTGATTTTATAAACTTTAATAAAAATATTTAAAATAACTAGTATTATTATTCTTATTTTTAAATTAGAATATACTGTAGCTTTAAACTAAGATTAACGTTAGATATAGGGATTTATTACCTTATTATTTAGTAAATTTTTTTAAAAAATAACATTCTAGTAATAATTACTACTGATTATTGTTAGTAATATTCTTTTAAATAAGCAAAACAATTTTTAAAAAAATTATTAATTTCTTACTTTATTAAAAAATATATATTTTAAAATAAATAAATCTAACTATAACCAGTGGTGATAGTCACCAGGGTGCCTATATCTCAAAAACGTACTAAGTAAACGGGATCGGGTCCTCTAAGTAAAAATGTTCAGGACCCCCAAAAACCTCACGAGAACTGAGATCTGGCCCTTATAGTAAGTAGCTCTATATTTATATTATATAAAAAAATAATAATTCTCTAATTTCTAACCCTAACCCTAAAAATAATTAGGGTGGTGACGATCAGTATGTATATACTGTATAAAAAATTTATTTTTAATACAAGGTTTAATTTTTATAAATATAAAATTATAAATATAAAAAATTTTTATTTTTTATATTATTTAAAACCATAAATTTAAAAGAAAATTTCTAAGCCTACACTAGTGTGTACACACGGATATTGATTAATTGATTTGCAAATACGGGCAACATATAAATTATAAAAAAAAACCCACTTAATATTAGGGTTAGGGTTAGGGTTAGAGGTCAGGGTTAGAGAATATTTTATATTAAAATTTTGCGTAGATTATTTTTTGTTAGAACCCCCAAAGTAGTTTCATAAGTAAAATTTTGAATAATAACAATACCCCGTGTGTTCACACTAGTGTACAAATAGTAATTCTCAATTTAAAATTAATAAAAGTTTTTAATTAAAAAAATTTTTTTAAAATTATATATTTTGCTTTATAAATGCAGTCAGACCTCAATATAATCACCAGATTGGGAAACAAATTTTGGTGATTATAAAAAATTGTAGCTATATAAATATCAAAACTGTAATTTGATATTAGAAAATACTATATAATTTTTATTTTAATATTAGAAGTTGATTTTTTAGTTTTACAATATATAATCATTTATTTTATAAATACAGTATAATATATATAAATTTTCTTTAAAATATAGCATAGTTTAGTCCCAACTTATAAAAGCACTATATACAGTATACGTACGTATATTTTTGCTTTCTATAAAATACATGTTTTTTTTAAATGTATATTTTGCTTTTTTTTTACTATAAATCCGAGAAAAATACACTTAAAAAGATTTAAAACTACAAAAAATATACTAGCAAGAATTTTTATTGTTTGAAGCATAAATAAGTACCCCTGATCTACTTGCATATTCTTGCATATTCGTAGAACTTATCTATCAATAACGATAATAGATTAAAATTCGCCAATTGATACACATCTATACGTATTAAGTCTAACTTAGATAACAGATTCATTTTTAGCTAATTATATTTTTAGCTCTAGACATCTAGTAGTACCTATTTCTAGTTATATTAATACTAACCCCAGAAACGCCAACAACATTTTACGTTCACGTGCCCAATATACCAATTAACATAAACCTCCAAACAAAGATCCTATCTAGAAATATAGCTTAAGAAAATAATTTCATATTATAACAAAAAAATAAATAAATAAATTTCTTGCAAAAATTTTAGTATAGATAAATTTCTTTATCTACTGCATTTATTGATTAATTTAATCGGAACTTTAAAAGTTGCTAGGAGTTTCTTGTTAATTAATGCTTCGATTTGTTATTGTGATTTTGATAATGAACTAGAATACTTCATTATGATTGGATAGTAATCACATGCCTGCTTTTCATTAGTAATTTTATATCCAAGTGTGTCAGTCAAAACAATAGGTGGGCGTATATCTTGGCTAACAACATTTTCGTCAGTTTTGACACCCTCCGCCAATTTCGCTTAAAGGTCAATTGAAAAGAGACCAAGTTTTGCATTTTTCGATAAGAAACATCTAGCTTCGTTATGTTTGGCCTAATAATTATAATTCGGTGTCAACAACTTTGCAACTTTTCTATTTTCTTTTCAATTTTTCCCTGTAAAGTTGAATGATATTTATATCAAATGTTCGTGACTATGCACTTTTGGACTTATTAAACGGTTTGTAAGATCGTCTAAATTTTATTGGACTTCTCGTATAAATATTTTATATTCAGAAAGGTTTGTTTTGCGAATGTTTATATCAAAAAATTTATGCAGATCCAATTCTAAATTGTACTGTCGTACAACAATAATGGCTGTAGTTCAATTTTATGACCGAAATTATAAATGTACCAATAATTCCAATCCGGTCTCATGGCCTATTTTTTTTTTTTCCTCGCCATACCAAAGAGTTTACAAACGATAGCACATAAATAAAATAATAATAATAGAAAGGTCGAATATTGTTTTTTGCATAAAAGATTATATTTGAGTGCTCTTTCTTATATTCGAAAGTTTTAGTGGTTTCTTATTTACTTTTGGGCAACGCTTTATATATATATAGTTCGATAAAGAGGACAAAAAAAAACTTCTTGACAAGGCAGGGGTTGTGTAACAAAGAGAGAACTTTTTTGCGGTGAGTTGTTCTTTTTAAAAATAAAGACCGGAGACTTCAAGTAACTGCTGAGGAGTTCAAACGTCAAGAGGCTTGATTTGTTAAGAAATATATCTAAAATATTGTTTGTATCTAGCCAAAATACAAGTCATAAAGTCTATAGAAAGTAGTCGGTATGTATCCGTAGATTTATATAGCATTATCAAAAAAAAAGAAAAAGGCTTATAAACAAAACATATAGAAGAAAAAAGGTCTTTCTTTTTTGTTTTTATTATACATGTTATAAAATATTGAACTTGTTTCTTTAAAAAAAAAACAAAAAAAAAAAACAAAAAAAAAAACAAAAAAGAAAACAACCAAAAAAAAAGAAAAAAAAAAACAAAAAAGTACAATTTAGTGCGTAACGACATAATAATGCCCAATGGAAAAGTTTATTATGAAGCTGAAAGAATCTTAGATGAGAAATTGATGGGAGATGAACTGTATTATTCTATTAAATGGAAAGGAATTGATGAAAGTGGAAAACCTTGGACTCCAACATGGGTAAGTTGCTAAACACTTTTAATTTATTAATTTACATTTGTATTTATATTTTGTATTCATATTAATTCATATTATAATTTTAGGAACCGGCAAGCTATTGTACTCAGCCACTTAAAGAATCGTGGGAGCAGCAAAAACGAGCCGCTAAAAGAAAGATGAGGTCACCAACTTTACCATCACCTGGAAAAATACTATCACCTAAAAAAGAAGGAAGGAAGGTGTCAAAAATAACTGGGGGTTCCAGTAATGAAAATTATTCCAACCTTTCTCAAGTCAATTATGGGAGTAGGTCTGAAACCCCCATTATGATTGATTCATCAAGCAGTGAAAATAAAGTGACACCACCTTCTTCAATACATTCTAAAATAAAACTAATGACAAATGGTTCAAACGGTGGCAACCCTTTGGCATGTCAGATACCAACAATACATCGTTTATCACATAGCCAGCTGGATGTCATGATTCCTGTGCCATTATCAGCGATGCAACAGAAAGTATATCGTAAAATTATATCCGCTTCTCAATTAACTCAATCTTTTACTCAAGCCTCGATGCCATTACCTCGTAATTCTCCAATTTTATTAGCAAAAGAACAATTACTTATGGTTGTTAATCATCTGTCATTGCTTTTTTCAAATGAATCTAATGAATGGATAAAAGATGTAAATCATACTGGAAAACTTGTAATGTTGCGGCAATTGTTAAAGCTTTTAAAGGATAAGAATCTTGCCATCGGCATTTCAATTCCTCCAGGACTAATGACGGTAAATTTGTTATATTAATTATATATTAATTTACTGTTAAATTTATAAAACCTTAAATAAATATAATTTATATAATATATTTTATAGGATATTTTCATAGACTTTTTGGAATCCAATGGTCATCAATACAAATTTGTTAATGATCCTTCAATTATGCACGATATTAGTAAACAACCAGCTACAGAACTTTCTCATAATGGATTGATGTGTTTTATATTTTCAACAGCCTTGCAAAACATTGATCTTGATTTAGTAAGTACCCGTTTTCATTACTACAATAATATTAAATATTTTTATATAATATCATCACAAGTAAGTTGGTAAAAGATAACCAATAAAAGAGAAAGAAGAAGAAAAAAAAAATTAATTATGTTTGAAGCTATCAATCGCATTGATCGGTTTTTACTTTTGGATCGTTTATATTATAGATACCTTTAGTCATACATATATTATATACAAATAATTATAAATATTTATATGAATACTTGAATATAACTTTCTAACATTAATCAATTTACTATATTCTTTCTTTTAAAGCCTCCGCTTGACCTTATGATTGCATATGACACAACTTTCAATACGCAAACGAAATTTGCCCAATCTGTATCCAATATGAACATTCCGGTTATCAGACTTGTTACCAAAAACACTATAGAACATGCTATGTGTTACCAAATGCTAATAGAAAAAAAGGCTCTATCCAATTTAACGCTCCCAGAATTAAAAAAGACCATAACTTATGGAACATGGAAAAGGAATCAGTATATTGTACCAGGATGTGAAGTGGCGCAATTTGATATCAAAGGTGTATGTGAAAAGATTGTTAATTGGATGGATGAAGGAAAGCTAAGAATTTTAAATTTTGGAATGGATGCGTCATTAGAGAAAAATTGGGATAGGAGTACAGATTTTATTGGTGGGTTGTCTGCACAGACAGGGATTTCTGAAAAAGTGGGGTGTATTGATTTAGGGACAAGTAAAAGAAAGAAGGTATGCTATATTTACTATTATATAGTTGATATGTCAATCATATATTTACTTACATGTTATCATTTTAACCACTTTAAAATAACCATTTTAATTCAGGGAAAAGAAGCAGTTTCTAATGGGGAGGATCCTCTAAAATCTAAGAAAATAAAAACTTTACCCGATTCTGATAAAGATGCAGTAGATCCAAAAATTAAAGTTGAAGCTTCGGAAACTGAAATTAATAAATTAGAAAATTCACCGTCAACATTTAAATCACCGAATCATTTAAATTCAGCAATGCCCGAATCCTCCAGGCGTGTAAATACTCCAACTCTCGGATCACCCAAACTTTTAAACGCAATATCGCAAAAATCACCTACTTTTCGACAGCCTAGACGTTTATTTATATCACCGCGTGAACCACCTAAACGATTAAGTGAGAAAGCGACAGGAAAATCGGTATATGATCTGGTAGAGAAATCAAATATTTCGGTGAGAGATCAGAAAGAACAAGTATTCTATCTTTACATAATAAACTTTAAAAATTTAGATTATTAAAAAAAAAATCATGATAATATAATAAATAAACTCCTGCTTTTAATTAGAATGAAACCACAGAAGATTGGAAACACAAATTCATTGATCTATGTAGTAAATCCACACAACGTGAAGAAGTTATAAACAGTCTTCAGCAGGAAAATAACAGATCTAGGGATTTAATCAATGAACTCAGCGCAGAACTTGCCAGCACCAGAAGGCAATTAGGAGAACTACAAGGACAACGGCGAAAACATCAAGAACAGCAAAATAGTGAAATATCACGCGAACTAGCAAATGCTAGAAAAGAATTGGCGGATTTAAAACTCGAATTTTCTAAAAAAGAAACAGTGATTGAAGAAAAAATTCAAGAAAATCAAAATATGAAGAAAGAGATGGAAACAAACAAAAATAACATAAAAACATTAAAAAATAAAATAAATTTATTACAAGACGAATGTACAGCATATAGGATTCACGGTCGAGCTACATTAGCCGGTAAAACCATTAAACGAACAGAATCGATGGATGAGCAGATAAGAACGTTGAGTGAGGAAAACGAATCCTTAAAAAAGAAGTTTGACCTTCAAGAAGATCTTCACAGACAACATATAAGGATTATGAATGAAAGGATAGAACAATCAGAAGCTGTAAAAAATCTTTTGATGAATCTTCAAGGCAAGACTGAAGCTGATGTGAAAGTGATGTTGGATGAACAAGAACAAAAGCCAAATCAACTTTCTTTTGAAAGTCATGATAGCACCAGCAACGTTAGTAATGCAGCAATGAACCAAACAACTTCAAAAAGTAGTAGCGGAAGCGTTTCCAAGTTGTCAGCACCACCTATCAATATATTTTCACCTGCAACCACTGCTAATGCATTTAAAATATTCTGAAAATACTTGTCCATTTGCCCAAATAATAACTTATTAACCTTATGGAATGGTTACAAAGAAAATAAACCAATGAATATGTATTTGGGCTTATATTGGTTTTTTATTTTCCAGTAATATATGTGTTTTAAATTTTACATAAAGAAAAGAAGAGGTATTATGGTGAAGTAGGGATAATATTGTGTATCGAATATCTGATCCAGTGGCTAGAATTGAGGATTATTTTTTTGAAGAATAAAAATTACTCAATTCTTACAGGATCACACCATTGATACTCTTTTTTTCTTATTTTGTAATATAAAATAATAAAATACATGTACAGACTGGTTCGGTCTAACTATATGTAATTTTATAAAATCCAGAAATCACTACACTTATTTATCGAAATAGATATTTTCTTTTGCTATTATTAATTTAAAGCAAATTGGAAATCAGTGAGATGTTTCGTATTACTACTATGCAGTACGGAACAGCATAATTCCAATTAAATTTGCTTTATAAAAGACGTTGTAACAAAATTTTTTTAAATTCTCTCAAATTAATAGTTTATGATTAAAAACTACATTTTTGAGAGAATTTCTTCTATTTTTATTTTGGATGTTATAAGGGTTCAAATGTTGCCTATTTTATAAAACTTGGCACTTATATTTCTTCTATATTATAAATATCGTGCGCTTCTTGGTATCTTTATATAAGGAAGATTATATATTATGATGAAATTAAGCATTATAGCTAATAATTATTATTTGTTTGTTAAGAAATAAGTGATACCATTCAATTTGTCTCGATTATGACATGAGATATTTTAATATGAGGTATATGAGGTACCCTCGTTTGAAATTATTAAAAAAATGTATATTATAGCAAAAGTTAGTATTATGGTAAACTAAAATTATCTGGCAATGTGCTATTGATCACACAATTAGATAATTTTTATGCCATATGATCCATCTCATTGAGATGAACCTATGACTCTAAAACTATTAAATCTGATCGTTAAGAGAGATCAGGGTACAGTATTTTATACCATCTCAACGAGAAGAACTGAAAAATGGTACCAATGCATCAAGTATTTGGTCCTCCAATCCTAACAAATTATATATTAATTTTTTAGTTCTCGGGTCTATCGTATAGGCGCGAAATAATGCACATGGGCGTTATTTTGAAATTTGGGCGGGTCCTTTAATAATGGCATACACCGTTTCAAGATAACGCCTAATATGTAAGTATAACTGAGATATTGATGCAATTATAAATCCGTACTGTCTGTCTTCTTAATACATATGAACTTGGTTGGCAAACAAGTAGAAAATTTTTCTATTGCTTTGGTAGATTAAAATTACATAATACAAGTGTAAATATATGTTTAAGAAATATATGTCGATATATATTAAGTCCGAGAATTGACCTTTATTGCGAAATAACGAACATGCTCAATTAAACAACAGTAGTGGGCGCTATTTCGTGCTTAGACGGTACACTTATAGCACTAATTACATTTTGACTCACCCTTAGACAGAAATTTATGTGTAATGATGCATCGTAACTCGAGGATTTGGTTCGCAATCAAAAGTCAATATCATTAGAAGTCAAATTTTTCAGATTTTGAGGTATATATTTAATAAATTCGTTGAAATGATTATCCGATTCTGATTATTGGATATCTATAATTCGTCTTCTACTTCATATCCTTATTAAAGTGGATATTTTATATTGTCCTTACCTTAATCTTTCGCTTTATGGATATCTTATTGAGATTCATCTTTGTCCAATTATAAAATATAGTGCAGATAACTTAGTTATTATCACTAATAAAAGGTTTATTAATTGGCGATTGTAAATAGGAAAAACATAAGATTTCAAATTGAAACCTCTCTTGCGCCACTAAATATACAAGAATAAATTACATTTATTGGATCTCTTTTAATATATTCTTTAAAGGATAAGCTCTTTTTTTGATTTTTTATATATGTCAAAGTAAAGAATCAATCAAAACTATATAATTCTAAAAAAAGAATACAAGGGAATTAAATTTTTATCGGTATATTATAATTATTATACTAATTAGTACTCGTCACTATCGACTATGTAATGATTAACTGTTAGCGTTAGGCGAGATTCTCTATCGCTATATCTTATCAGCCAACCAAAATAAATGACTGATCACCAGCCAATAAATAGATTTTAATTACGCTCGTGTAACGGATATGCGAATAACTTTGTCTCTGCTTAAAAAATACTGTGGAAAATGGGAGAATACAGCATAAATGATATATCACAAGAACTCGCCAAGCATTTGGATTTTTCAGAGACTAGCACAGAGGCAGTACGTAAATCTATTGAGCTAATCATCACACAATAAAATTTATGAATTATATTTAAATATAGATGAAAGAGGTCCAGAACAATGTCGAAAATGTAACGAACAAAATGGAAGGAATAAAACAGTCCTTAGAACATGTATTTATTCTTCGCTCCTATTTGATCATTTATTAAACTTATTATATTATTTGTAACATCATTGAGCAAAAAATAAAATAAAAAATAAAGGTTAAAACAGATATACCCTCCCGTTCGGAATTAGCCTCGAAGGAACTTTATGAGGCCGCTCATCATTTGGACGCTTTATATAATAAGATAGATGCTTTAGAAGTATGAATTTGTGTTCAAACTCTATGACCTCTATTCTTTACATTTAATGTTTCTTTCCATCCTACTGTCAAAATAGTGCTTTGTCAACATAGTAAAACAAACAGTTAACGATGTAACAAACCGTGTAGAAGAAGCCGAAGCATTCGTTACTAATCCTATTAATCTTGTCTTAGATACTTTAAAAATAGTTTGTATTTACTCTGTCATAATGATATTAATTATTTGTCGAATACAAAATTAATTATTATTATTATTATTACTTTTTTGAAAAGAACACAGCCAAGTCAATAGAACCTTCTGATTTAAAACTCCCTCCAATGCGATCATTGAATATTTATCGTACATCAGATTATTTCCCTCCAGAAGCCGAAACCTCTGAACAACTATAAATTTAATTGTTTATGGCAATACGAATCCGTAATAGATATTGTATTCATTCATATAGTACATGATTATGATGAATATAGTTGTCGGCATTTACTGAACAATTTAATATATGATTCGATAAACGTCAACATAATAAATACTAAATATTTTCACTATCTAAATCTTTACTACTATTTTTCTGATTGCTAACTTTACATAAATGAACGATAGTTCTATTCAGAAATCATTTACCACGGCCAATACCGGGAAACATATCTAAGGTAAATGTGTTATTCCAACCATCTACATATCGCGTAACGAAGACATTTGAGAATACAAATTATCTGAAAAGCACTATATTTCGAATATTATTTAGAGAATCAAATCTTTTCAAATCTGGTTTCATTAGCATTATACTTATCGGTTTCAATTGGCTACAGATTTTACTAAGTTGTATAAATTTTTTTGTAAGCTTAGATATTTATCATAAATAATCTTGATGACGGTAAGCTTATGAAATTCTTAGTCTTGTTCGAATAATATAAAGTGAAATTCATCTTTCACGATACCTTATATTATCCACACTATAGTTATTACTTATACTATTGTTACCTTTTTCATTGTTCGGTGGATCATTAATGTCCTCAGTTATATTAACATATATTGCTAACCTTTCTTAAAAAGAAGGATGAGTATTTAAAGATATTATAATTACTATAAACATGTGAATAAGTATGTATATATTTGGAAAATCACTTAATCTAAATGTTACGATAACAGAGTTTGACTATCTATTACATACTAACAAAATATTTCTAGTATGTATTACTAATCATAATTAGTAATTTATATATAATTATATATAATTATATATAATTATTTAATATTTAAGAGTTATTTATTTTAAAGAGATTTTAACAGAACTTTAGTTTAAAAAAGATAGAAAATAGTGGGCAGTAATGGTAACTAAAGTTAGATCAGATTTAGAATTAATTAGTATTATACTGTATATATATAGTAAAATACTTTAAAAAAATATTGTTTTTTGTTAGTTTTAATTAAAGTTGGTTTTTTAAATAAAGAGATTCGTTTTTGGATGTTCTAAAATTTATCCTAAATTGACCTATATTTTTACCAATGCGAAAGCACTAACGATTGATGTAAATGCACTTTGGAACACACTTTACTTACAAGCTGCAGATCTATAACTTAGTTTATATTCGTGATTAAATTGGCAACAGTAAAGCAAGTTATGTTATATTTCAGTCATGGGTGATGATGGAATAATTATGGTTGTACTAATAAGAAGAAATCGGTGTTAAAAAGAGTGTATTATCAAAAAACTGATAGTGTTTAATTTTAAACTTAACAAAGGTAACACGATAAATCATTTAACTATAATTTTATTTATATTTTATTTTATTTTCACTAATATTGACACAAGAAATTAATAGATAAGTTCTCGCATATATTAAATTATAAAGTTGATTTAAAATCAAATTTAGGTGGTTACTTTATGAAGAACCAAGTATTGTATTTAGAGAATATATTATATTAAAATTAGTAAATAATATGCGTAGTTATATTCCCGGATCTTATTCAAGAAACAGTTGGCAAGTAAGGTATGTAATACCCGAATCTTAATCATGGGTTATTATTTTTGGAATAATGTCAACGATAACCGAAGAGTCATACATTTCCATTGATCTCTGATTCGTCACTTTCCCATGGTCTGCCTATTTTCGCAATATCGATATTAAATGATTTCTCGGATATTTTATTTCATTTCAAACCCTTAATCGAGACCGTTTTACATAATTGTGAATTGCTGATTGACAGTGATTATTTACTTAACCCGATTTAGGGTTTGAATTCACATCAAAGCAAGAACTAGTTACTTGTTCGCATTGCTCATTGATTTCGAAATAAAATATGATATCAAAATTATATTTGTATAATTTAATTGTAAGTAGGGATTGGAATCGGTTTAGTCGACTACTATGTTTAGTCGACTAATTAGTCGGTTAAACATAGTAGCTAAACATAGTAGCTTACTATAAAAATTTTTTAGTCGATTAAGGGGTTGGCAAATATTAGCTCATTATACCCCCCTGGGATTTTTACTTAGTCCCACCCAGAGTCAGTCATTTGACACAGTAAAACTTACAAAAAATGCATAATTAGGTTTTTGACAGTTTACATTGTCAACTGTCAAAAACCTAATTTGTAAGTTTTACTGTGTCAAATGACTGACTCTGGGTGGGACTAAGTAAAAATCCCAGGGGGTATAATGAGCTAATATTTGTCAGCCCCTAAACCGATTCCAATCTTTAATTGGTTTAATTTTTTAATAATACTGTAATATATATATGTAGTTAAGTAAAAAATTTAAAGTAAATATTAAGCCAATAAAGAGATAAGTTACATGTTTGCTGTGCTGGTAAAATTCTTTATTTTCAGATACATAGCTTTATTTTAGCTATCCTAAATTTTGATAATTTGGGGATCATCTCACCATGATAACATTTTGGTAGTAAAATCATCAAACACAGAACGATAGATAAAAAGTTATTTAAAGTCAAAATTACATCTATTTTAGACAATTTCACAAATTAGCCAATATGATTTGTTTGAAGATTCTAAAATCAGAAAAAACCTATCTGCCAACTTTAATGTTTTATTATATTTTAGAATTAATATCATATAAAGTTATTATATAATATATAATATATAATACAGTATATATATGTCATAATGACATAAATATAGAATAGACTAGTATTTTTTTTATTTTTTATTTTTTTAAACAATCATATCACAACTTTATTTTATACTATCCCTTAAATTGTAATGCAGGCAAATTTGCCTGCGAAGATTTTTACTAATTTTTTTAACATTTAAATTTTTTAATAAAATTTTGAATATTAATTTTAG